CTACTTCATTCTATCCACACTCCCAGAAAATTCGCTTGGAGCAACATCTTGCTCGTTAGATTGAGACACTTTGTATTGTAATATGAGGTGTACTCAAACGGCGAACTAATTCCAGAACAAACGACTAGTGGCACGACATATCAGCGATAAAAAATTGACATAACACGTCTAACATCTTGGTTTTTGCGCAATCATGAACGTATGAATAGACGAACAGGCAAAATCAAACAATCTAATCTATTTTGCCAGAAACATAACGAAAACGCTCAGGTCCAGGGAAAGTCAACTTAGAATTTTCGCTTCATAAGATAACTGTCTACCAACAAGTATTTGCTTAAATATTGAACCATCACAAGTATTTGCTTGAATGGTGAAGCACAACTTCAATCAAATGTTATGCAAAAGTATGAAAGTATGAGTATGTTTACGTAAATTTACCGATCCCTTTTCCTCAGCATCACATTTGCATAAGTACTACGGCACTGGCGAAACTCATCCATACCCCTGCCGCTTTCTAATTTGGAATAGCTTATCAGAGGGAAAACATGGTTGAAATTTCTACAAGCAATTATGGTAGTGGCAATTTACTCAAAAATGAAGGTTTCTCAAAAAAAAAAATACCCTCCTTACATCTCTAGCACAACAAAAACAATTATCACTTTCTTGTCTGGACTTCCTTATGTTTAATTTACCAGAAATGTTCTGATCCCTCCGATTAATCTAATCATACAAAGAAACTAAGCTAATGCTAGCAAATCTCATTGCTCAGGAGGCAATAGGTACGCAAACTCTAGCTGTTTGAAAATCAAACTTAGTTTCTCCAAAAAAGACTGCTCACAGAATGTTTCCGCACGTTCCTCCGGATGCAATCAACAACTTGAATCAATATCAATAACAATTTATCAAACAACAAAGAATCAACAAATTACTCGGCGGGAATTTCAATTTCGCCATTAGCGATCTGCTCAATGATATCATGAGGATGTTGGCCATCAATGGTACATCCAACTGACTGTGCGGTACCTTAAAACATGAATCATAAGCTAAACTTTCTGAAGATTTGATGACCGTCCTTACCCAAAATTTCCTTGACGGTTCCTTCTAGCTTTCTGGCCATTGATCTTGGCCTCATAATCCTTGCAATCTTGATGATCGAGTCCAAGGTAAGGTCACCATTGTGCTTTACTAAAATAAAAACTCAAAGACGCGAAAACCAATCCCTCGGGCAAGGAAGGAACTCACAAAAATAACACCCCAGGGCGTTACCAGTCTATGCAAAAACAAGAGACTGGGGGATGAGAGCATGTGGACTCTCGACCCTCGGCCAAAGGTGCGTACCGTTCTTAACCTTCTTTCGATCGCGTGGAGGTTCCTTGAGTTCCTTCACGAGCAATGAAGCTGCCGAGGGGACGACGTCGATCTTGGCAACACGATTCTGGATGGTGAGCTTGCAAGTAACCTTGAGTCCCTTCCAGTCTTGAGTGGCTTTAGCGATATCGTCACCAACTTTCTTTGGTGAAAGACCCAAAGGTCCGACTTTAGGGGCAAGAGCTGAGGTAGCTCCCACTTCTCCGCCCACACATCGTAGATACACTAAAAAAAA